AAGATATATCTATTTAAACATCAAATTTTAAAACTGCTCACTGACACTTTTTGCTGTGGGGGTTCCCATATACTCTTTTATTAATAACCCTAACCCCAAAGTCTAATTAAAACACCAAAAAAAGGTATACAAAAAGCTCAAAAAACTTTACAATTTCATAATAAAATAAAACAAATTCTCAGCATAAGCATAAGCTATCACATTAATAATAAAGTCTGTGCTTTAAAAGTAATTTTCAAGTATTAAGATTTTATATAAGATGTTTTCAAAAAAAAAGAAGAAATTTTATAAGATTAATTTTGAAAAATTTCTTGCATAATTGATTTGAAAAATTGAAGTAATTCACGTGATCACTAGATGTCTTGAACTATATATAGCAATAATTATTAGTCTTGGATGGCTTATTAATTGTATATTCTGCACATTTTTGTAGCAATAATTGTCAAAAACAAGAGCTTGAATCTATAATGAAATTTATAATTAAAGGATTTATTACATATTCCGTTAATAAAGAAATATCGATGGAAAATGTTTATATTCAGGTTCTGAGTTCGGCTGAATTTTTTGAACTACAACCTTTAAGAGGTATTTTTTTTTAATTTATCTCAGTTTAATAATAACTTTTACATAAACTTATGTGAGGTTTTTTTTTTCAGACATTTTTTTAAAGATTTATCTAGAAGAGCTATCAATAGTCTTCCAAAATATACGTGATGTAAATATGTTAGGATCTGACAATAATTTCAAAGAAATGGATATGATTATTGAAATTACATCTAGATGCCATCAACAGTCTTCATCGGTGTTATTGGATTCTATATTGCATTGCTTCTCATCATCATCGGACAAAAGTTCATTGTATGCCAACTTTTTGCCAGATGAAAAAATTCAAAAAATACAACGTTTTATTACTTTGCTACATTTATTTCCCTCAGAATACTTTGATAGATGGGAAGTTAATTGCCTATCTGCATTAATATTGCTTATAGACAAAGTGATATTTATGTCACAAAGTCGACAAAGTAATATGCTTATAAATCTTTTAAAAAGTGCCGTTCTTTGTAGAAGTTTAATACAAAATTTTTTTCTTGCAACAACTAAACAAGATGACTTACTGGTAAGACGATAAAATGCTTTTACGCTGGAATATAATTTTATTTATATCATTAAAGATTATAAACTTCATTTGTTCATAGTGGAAAAATCAATCATTTATTATGTGGTGGGTGTCATCTATGTACACCTGTAAGCCTCATATAAAAGAAATTGGTGAATTTCAACAAAATATTTTACACCAGCAATTTGTCAACTTGGTTCAGATAACCAATGAAACTATAATAATTATATCAAGGTATGCTATACATTAACAATTGTTTGTAAATAGTATAATGCTAATAAATTCTGTTCTTTATAATACCATAGTCACATGCTTGCTAGGTATCGAGAAAATGAAAATTTTAAAATCAGAAATTACCTAAACATCATCATTTTCATATTTACTATTCATTTGGATTATTCTTTTGACCAAGAAAATTCGGTCATTGATGACATTTGGAAATTTGCTGCTAAGTTTTTAAAGCTTGGAATAGAGTTTTTTGAATCTCGCAGGTGAATATTTCTGATAATGATAAAGCCCACATGTATATAATGTATTAACATACTAAATTATTACATTTACAGATCTATTCATGATGGAGATCAAGAGATACGTGAGACGTTTGAGATATTGCAGCAAAGGGTTGAGAAGAGTTCGTTAAAACTTATTACGTTTTATCTAGATAAATCTTCGCAACAGCTTCAAGAAGATAATAGTTTCAAAGGAATTCAAGTTGTCTTAAGACAAATTACTCATTTAGAAGAAATAATAAAAACATATTGGATGTCGCTAAAATATTATAACTTGAACTTTTTTCAACAGCAAAGTTCGAATGCTCAATGTTTGTATAATATCATATTAATCTAATATTTATATCGGCTAACTAATAATAATTTTATATGTTACGCAATTCACCTAGCATCTATTATGATTTCTATTTTACAAAAATATTTTTCAATCATAATTGCATTGTTACGCGCAATACCAATCGATACAGTAGTAAACCAAGAAATGTCTCATGCCCAAGAAACGATTAAAAAATGCATGACATTCATGTTAATTGCAATGGATTTTGTTACATTTATTGAATCTAAAATAAACTTACAAATTTTTCACAAATTTGTATCATTTATGTGGGAAATAATGGCAATTTTCTATGAGAAAGGTAATAATATGAATATCAAATAAGAAAAGTTTAAATTAATTGCCTGTCTTTATATTATGCTTGCTAAGAACATAATATATAAATATAAGATGTAAATTTAACAATTTTTTATTTAATCGATTTACTTTTATCTTAGGTGCGCAAAGTGAACTTTTGAGTGACTTGGATAATGGCTTCGGCGTATTCATAACAAAATTACCAATTGAAAAATATGACGAAATCTCAAGTGACATTATCAATAAATTAGAAAAATTTCCCCTCTCAGTGCAAAAAAGTTATACGAATAAAAATTTGAAATTTCTCATACACTTTATTGATATATTTCTTCGCAGTTCCACATATGGTAAGACTCTTAGAATAATATTACACATATAACTTTATTTAACAAATATAATTTATTGTCAATAGTGCAATTGTGTTGTTTACGGAGAAAACTTCCCAATATATTAGTTAGATTGTGCAATTTAGGAGAGATTATTGACCAATTACAATATGCTATATCCATTATAAATATTTTGTCATTTTTGGTTTCTCGTAAGGTATTTTAATATAATTAAAAATCTTAAATTATATACTTTATAACAAAGTTAACGATTATTTACTATAAATATAGGCATTTTCGTTTCGGTCAATTGATATTAATTTGATATTATCAACTGTGATTTCATTAACATCTTCAAGGACAAACATTGAATCAGACGAAAAAAGCTATCAAAATCTCTTTGAGGAAGTATGTAATCTATTATTCAAAATCTTGATACATTGTCGAGAAGTCCTCTACTCGACTATTCCAACCTATGTTGTTATCATACAATCGATGTTTCATTGTTTCAAATCCCTCGATAACCAAAAACGAAAAAGCGAATTACAGAATCGTCGATATGTAACAATATGGGATATACGTCTCAAAAATCCGTTACCAATATCAAGTGTAAATTCATTTACAAGATTATTGACAATGATATCACAAAGAGATTCATTAAACAAATCTCATAAAAAAAAAGCAATTTCATCACGACCGTTTATTAAACATGTGCCATGTTTAATAGCAGAATATTTAAAAGTACAAACAGTTGGATTTTTAGAACCAGCTATTAAGGAAAGTTTGAGACCAGGAGTGTATGCACTTTTAGATTTGTGTGATAAACATGAAAGAGATATGATTATGGTTACTTTGGACCAAGCTGGGAAGAGCTTGTTTAAAACTTTATGGACCGAATATAATAAAGATTGGAAATATGTAGGAAGGGGATAATCATATCAACTTTTCATAATTAGTTGTTCACAAAGCCTCTTAACATTAGATGTAGGTTTATTAGAAATTTCTAAATCTTAAACAAAATTTAAATAAATAACTGGATTGTACGTAGGATTTAAGAATCCAAAATTAAATTCTTGGATTTTATTGAATTCATTTATTAATTTTATGATATACATTTCAAATAATATGTAAAATAAATAAATAGATTACAAAAATTCGAATTAATAATGTGTATTTGCATTAGGGTCACCGACTATTTGCGATAGCATAATATGCGCATAAATCGGATTTTTATCGCATAGCAGATGCGATAGCATATTTCGCATATTAAAGAATACATCGCATAATTGTCTAAGCATAATCTGCGCATAAGTAGTGTAATTATGGGTTTAAGTGTAATTTTATAAATACGTATAATTATATTGTATTACGTATGTATTGGTTGAGGCATACGTATAATCGAAATAAGCAATTTTTTTTTTTTTATCCCGGGTAGTAAATTGGAAGGTCATTTATAATTATTTCAAAGATTGCGTACTTTTGTTTCTATTTTTAAAAAAAAAATATCGTTTCAGGAAAAATATACAAATAAATATAACCTTCTTTGAAAAACAAAGAAATTACTGGTTAAAAAAATTTAACGATACATTATTTATTTATTTGTTAAAAATATAAAAATTATTTCTTAATATGACTTCAAGTTAACGAATTAAATTACACAGCCTTCAAAAATTAGCAAAAAAAATTATTAATATTTGTTTTCTTCTACGTACGTACATATGTAATTTTTAAATTTATTGTTAATTAACAAAATTATTTTCAATACGTATAAAATCTTAATTGGCGATTATAGGATTATCAAAGGCTTGGATGACTATCAAAGCTTGGATGTCTATCAAAGCTTAGATGATTATCAAAGCTTGGACGATTATTAAAGGCTTGAAATGTAAATCTAATATTTAGATAGAAAAGTAAAAGTTTTTAGATCAGATTCAAGTAGATTATAACTAAGATAAACTACTGTATTGCTGTATTATCGTTATGCAATAAATATAAAAAGAATGTAATAATAAAAAGAGTTGGTTAAGATTTTTTTTAAAATCTTTAATCTTTAATTTATCTCATAACAATATTTTATGATGGTTTCTCCAACTGAATGTTGACTTGAAAATTCAGAATACAAAAAGAATTTTTATGTTGATGGTCAAAAATTGTTTTGCAAATTTTGTAATAAAGTCGTAGACCATACAAAAAAATCTACATTAGATATACATCTAAAATCAGATAAACATAAAAATAATATTACTAAAGCTGAAAACTTAAAATTAACTCGTCAAACAACTCTTGATACAATTAGTACTAGTTTAAATGAACATGAACAAATTAATATAGCATTAGAGAAAGTTGATAAGCTTAAAAACTTTTTTTTTGAATATTGTAAAAATGGTAAATTTCTTATATTTAATATATATTTTTTATTAAAAAATTAATATAATTTTTTTTTTTAGGTAGTGCGATTGTAAGCTCAGATCAGCTTCGTCGTAAATATTTACCAAAAGTATTCGATACAGAAATTTTAAAGTTACAAAATTTTTTAAAAGATAAACAAATTTCTATTACTATAGATGAAACTACGGATGCATGTAATCGAGCAGTAGTTAATATTTTATTTAGTTTTAATAATCAAACTAAATTAGTGAAAACAGAATTTATTACTATTGTTAATAGTACCTCAATTGCTCAACTTGTTATAAAAACTTTACAGTTTTATAATATTTCATGTGATAATCTTATTTTTTTTATTTCTAATAATGCAGCATATATGTTAAAAGCATTTCAAATTATATCATCATTAATTTCTCAATTAAGACATAATCGTTGTTTAGCCCATATTTTAAATTTAGTTAGAGAAACATGAATACATTATAAAAATTTTCAATTTTTAGCTAATATTGTAAAAAATAAAAAAACTCTTTCTGACGATTACTAAAACAACAAAATCTGAAGAAAGAAAAAACAAAATAGAATCATATACAACTACTTTATATTAAATAACTAAATATTA